GTATCCTAACTCAACCACAGCCCTTAACTTTATCCTCCTCATCATTTGTCAGCTAACTAGTAAGTTGGGTGGTCACTCAGTTGTCTCTCATGCTCTCTTGACAAGAAACGAGCATGTATAAACTCTTGAATGTGCGTACTTTAACATGTTCCAGTGTTGGTCGAGCCAGGATTTAAGATAGCTCACATATGGTGTTGTCACAACCAAAGTCTAAATAAACCAAGTCTACCCATGCGCATGTGACGTCGTTGGCGTGTAGTGGATCCCGGGTGAGACCACCCCAGCTATCGTGATTTTCTCATTCCATAGCACACTATCTTTCAGTTAGCCACTTGAACTTCCCATGTAATCATTATTTTTATGATATTCCTATTCTTATTATTAAAAAATTATTATTATTAGCAAACCTCTTCTTCCTCTTTTTATTATTATTTATACTCTTATGATTTTGCTGCCAGTATCAGTGTAAAAGCAATTAAGTAAACAAGTAATCATAGGCATATGTGCTAGATATTTACTGGAGGGGGGGGGGGGAAGATGGAATACAAGAATTAAATAAAATAGTTAAAGAAAATATTAAAAATTGTTTATGATTATAATTATCATCATTCTCTCTCCCCAAGCTATTACAGTACATCAGTGAATATAAGTGTACGTATACATATATGTAGAGCTTTTCAATTTATCAATATGGCCACTAGATATATTACAGATGACAAGGCTATACAACAGTTTCAGGGAACAAATAGGTACTTATCTTTCTACATCTGGTTTCCTGGCCGAAAGTTAGACTTTAGGGAATTTAAATTTAAACCTGCCAACGGCTCTCAAGTATTGTCCTTCCTCATGCCGCCTCCTATATGTTTGCTTCATGCTCAATAAAATCTACTTTTTTCTCTGTTTTTCATCCTTCGGAAATCGATGAAATCTCAAACTTTTATCACGTAGTCTGTAATTTGATATGTATCCAAATACGGAGCATTTATCAGGCATTGTCATAAACCTTCGCACCACGATGGCCAGCGAGTAACTGAGGTCCCCCGGGCTGCTGGCTAGATGACGTCATGCGCGGTGAAAGACAAATTTTTTACTCGAAGTGGGTTGATTTGGTATAATAAGACTTTGGTCGCAACCTTCTCTGGCAGATAAATTTCAGATGGATTCAATGCTCACATCCAATCTTAAGTGTCACTGGTTTATGCCTAGGGCATCCCCAGTTAATCTAACAGTAAATGGATACCTAATTTTACAGTTAGTGAAGTAAAGGTGGTTGAATGCAGTGTCAACCACACTGCATCCTTTTATATCAGATGCTTTGAATTCAGTGTACAGTACTACAGTATACTGTAGTGTATTCACACTGCCTATTATGGGCCATTAGGCCTATGACTTTTTTTCACCCAAAATCACTTAAAGAAAAAAGTCATTGAGCATATTTTGAACAAGGTACAGTATTACAGTGGTGATTTTTACACATTTTAACGGAAAGTGTGAACAGACCTAACTGTTTTGGATTTTTATATATTGTATAGTATGTAGTAAACACTAGTCCCCCGACAATTGAATCATAACGGTATACCCATTGTGGCCTATGAACTTCTAAATATTGTAGCAATACTCTTCTGTTAGGGACAAATAAAAGAAATTCACCCTAGTTAGACCTTTGTAACTCAGTTATTGTTAGTGTTAGCATTTAAAGACTGAGCAACTATAAGAAAAAAATGAGGTGAGAAAGTTAATGAGCATACAGTGAGTTCTGCTATAACGCGTGTTTTGATAACGCGAATTTGCTCTAACGCGATTTATGAATTAGGACCGATATTTGTATAATGCGAACGCTTGTTTGCTATAACGCGATTTTCTCTTACTATTTCTCCAATTTTGTGGTATTAACTGTGAATATAGTAAAGAAGAATATCAACAAGAAGCGTTCTGGTGATAGAATTCCCGGTGATGATCGTAAAAGAAAGGATATAACACTTGAAGAGAAGCTCGATTTTATCAACCTCAAAATCACCCTTCTCCCCCATCAAGTAAAGTGTTACATTTACTGTATGATTTCATTCTTAGATATGAATGTAACATTTATTTAGACTGTGCTATCCTTTGTGTATGGCTAACTACTAAATTTTTTCGATTTCGAGTAATCTGCACCTAACCCTATTTTCTCCATAAGCCCTGTTATTTCTATTACGCGATTTTCTATAACACGATATTTTACAAGAACACAATTATCGCGTTATAGCAGAACTACCTGTATTATGAAGAAAATTTCATGGCTGCTTTCACTTTCATATTTGTACAGGTATAGAATCTAGGTGTAGAAGCTCAGCCTAACAGATAGTGAAATGCAGTTTTGATTCACAACAACTTACTGTATATTATCCTTGTTCATTTGTATCTGTGCTCTTGCTACAGTCTTTATTTCCATCTCATTTTGAACTGTTTTCTGTGATAGTTTTATGTTTTATTTTCAGAATTATTTTTACATTTTTGGAAAATAATGTCTCGCATCACGACTTTTTTTATTATTAGTACCTGTAGTAGTAGTGGTAACAGTACAGTAGTACAGTAGTGGTTAGTGGAGTGCAGTACTGTGTAGACCTATTAAGGTGAAGTTTTTCGTAGCTGTTAATATGTTCTAAATACTCGGGAACACACTTGTACACCATTAAAATGTGTTGATTTTGTTAATAAGAGTGGTGGTCAGCCCAGACAAACTGAAATCTGTATACCCGTGGTGTACTTTGCTAGCACTATGGAAACAGTACCCACAGTGTAAAAAAAAAAATAAAAGATTGTATGATGCTCAAGGAAGCGTTTTTAGCACATTGAGTTCATTGTTTATACACTATATATGGTAACATCGAGCATCGAATTATAATCAGATCAGACCTTTGGTGACTTCATCTCCCTGAAAGTTTGATAACAAATCCATTTAGTCAGAGTGGAGTAGATCATACAGGTAGTAAAATTTTAAGTGTACTGATTGAAAATTAAATGTATAATAAATGAAATGGAGTGGCTGTTAGTCTAGTAACACTACAGCAACACTATATACAGTACCCTACAATTTATATTTCGTCATTTGGATCAAGAATAGCCAAAAAAGCCATTATTTGTTTATTACATTGGAAGGAACTGATGGTAGGGTAAATGGTTACCCTTTTCAGTGTAGACACATTTTTATTTATAATGAAAGATATATACAGTATACGGGTATATATATTTATTTTGTCAATTCAACTCAAAACTTCAAGAAGGCATTTCACATGAAATACTACATTACTATGAAATTCTTGTGGTTTCAAATGATGTTCCTGGATATTTAGGGTTTTACAGAGTTATTTTGATGTTAACACAAAGTTCCAAAGTGACCCTTAAAATTTATTTTATATCAATTTTTGTTAGGCTTGAAATTTGTAACCTGAGCAAAAAAAAATTAATAACAGGTCTTTAAATCTATAAATCAAAATTTAATATATTTTTAAATATAAAATTGTTCAGTCTGTAAAAAAAAATTTCAGTTATCTGTTACAAAGTGTTTCTTGTTTCAGCTTTACATGCAATAAAACAATACTGTACATGTGGTTAGGAAAGTCACTGTATATACAGAGCAGATTATTTAAACGATGTATACAACCATATGTTACTGTATCTCTTTAAATATCATTAAGAGTAGATATCGAGTGTGAGCACTACATTTTGTTCTAGATTCTAAGCAGTATAAGAGTGAGATCCATCTTGGTAATAAGAGTGTATGATAAATTTTTTTATGAAATAAATGGTTGAAATTTTGAGATTTCACTTTACCTTTTCATCACAACACAGTACATTGGTACAATACATAACATTTTAAAATTAGTTAAAATCTGAAACAGTCCAGGTTTTTAGAGTTAAAGTATTAGAAACTGCTTAAACATGAAACCCTTTTAGGTAGATACATTATATTTGTATTTTCCTTTTAATATGTATTATCTTAATACTGTATATTGCAATACAGTAGTTGCAAGCCTTGTTTACTGTTCTGTTCAAGCACATTTCATTTTTTCAATAATTATTGAAAACAATAAATTGTGTTTATCAAAGGACAAACAGTTAGTTTCCTCAGTTGCATAGCCTTATGGTGTTGGTTACTGTATGGCATCTACCTCTGCCACCTCTTGTCTTCCGCATGTTGGGGCGCCTGACACAATGTGAGTCTTTCAATCACAGGATGGTGTTGTTATCTCTCCTGTGGTCAGCCTTTTGACCACTCTTTTTGTTTTAGAGGTTTCTAAATAGTTTCTTATTTTTGTACTGAGATGCAATACCATATTGTAAATTAATTGGTAACTTGGCTGACCACACTGTTGCTAACAAGTCCTATCCCCATTCTTCTCATGCTGTTTAGGTTTTCCTTGTCTAATAGAGTAACAAAATATTTCGACATTCTAAAGAAAGTTAATAAAAAATAGAATAAAATTTGTGAACTCATATTCATAAAGCCACAATACTGATCACAATGTACAGTATTTAAAATTTTGACATTCAGTAATATCTCCATTTTTTAATTCCCTGTACGTACTTGAAATAGAATAGTCTAGTTCACTTCATAAAGACAATCCTTCTAAAGGACATTTGTTGTGTCCTTAAGTCTGCTGACAACTTTATTAAATTGGAGTACTGTATTGATTTTCTAATTTACTACTGATTCATCGTACATTCATTAGCCTTATAAAGCCTAAGTATATCCAAATTTTGTACTTTCTTGTAGTCAAGGCCGATTACTCTTTGGACAAGACTAACCTGTGTGGTATATATACAGTATTGTTGTTATGGAGTCTTTATTCTGGTATATGGCTATTAATATTGTTTTTGCTATTTGTCCTAATAGAGTAGATTTTTTTTTTGTGGTAGATATATGGTTATAATGTGTAGATATATAAAGACATACAATTTTTAAGTGCTATTGAAATTACAGATAAACTTCATCTTTTGTCTTATTCATTTACAAACAGAACGTGGAGACTTCAAGCCCACGGATTTGGAAAGGTAAATATACCCTGTATATGTGTAAAAATTACATTCAGTACTTATTTCTTAACCCAAATCTCCCTTTCAAAGCTTAATTACTTTCTACCTTTTTTTACTTTTATCCTCTTTGCCACTGATCGGCTTGTTAGCCGCTTGGGCGATCGGTCACGTCTCTTTTAATTTATCTTCTTCACCAAAAGATCGGCTCGCTAGCCGCCCGGGCGATCGGTCACGTCTCTGTCATGCACTGTTGGCAAATACTGGGCATGCACCGGCTCCTGAATGTACCTGAACCCGCTCCAGTGTTGGTCAAGTCTTGTCTTGAAAGAGCTCACACTCGGTGCCGTCACAACACTCTGGTAGATTGTTCCAAGAGTTTACAACCCTCACTCCGAAAAAGTTTGCCCTCACGGTTTTCTGGACTTGGCTTCTTCAATCTTGAGCTGTGACCCGGGCGAGCGTCCCACAGCTCCAAGTAAGGACACTCAACTGAGTAGTGCCCCTGAGATGCTTATACACCTCAACTAGGTCCCCCTTGCCCGCCTGTAGTATAAGCTAGGCAAGTTCAGGCGCTCCAATCTCTCAGGGTAGCTGAGGTGCCGAAGTGCAGGCACCAGTCTGGTGGCCCTCCTTTGAACATTTTCAACCAACTGACAGTCCCTAGCATATCTCGGGGACCAGATGGGGTGACTGTACTCCAGATGGGGAAGCACTTCACTCCTGAAGATCGTTACGAGGGACGGACCGTCTAGATATCTGAACGACCTTCTTATAAGACCCAATAATTTATTTGCCTGATTTACCTTCTTCTCACAATGGCCCGAGAACTTCAGCTCATTGTCAACATACACACCTAGGTCCTTCTCACACACAGTCTCAACTAGTTTAGTTTCTTCATTCCGTTGGGACATATGATACGCCTCCTTACCGTTGGTACGCCCCAGGTGCATCCGCTTACACTTCGTGACATTGAATCTCAGCAGCCATTTCTTCGACCATTCCTGGAGCCCACAGAGGTCCTTCTGCAGCTCTTCACAGACCGCTTGGTTCTTAATTTCCCGAAATAACTTGGCGTCATCGACAAACATTTGTATGGAGGAATGTACAACGTCAGGCATGTTATTTATGAAACGAACAAACAACAGCGGGCCCAATACACTGCCCTGTGGTACCCCACTTGTTACAGGTACAGATGACGATTTCGTGTCATTAATCACCACACACTGCTTGCGGTCATGTAGAAAGTCTTCAATCCACGCTAGGACATTTCCCCGAATTCCGTACCCTTCCAGTTTGATTTTCAGCCTTTCGTGGGGTACACTGTCGAAAGCCTTGGCAAAATCTAGGTAAATATTGTCGATATTACCACCCCGTTCCAGAATATGGGTCCAAATATCCAATACCTTGAGCAATTGTGTTAAGCAAGAGCGCCCCGGCATAAAACCGTGTTGGCAATCTTTTACAAGGTTGTTTCGTATTAGATGTTCCGTTGCGGCATCTCTGATAATACTCTCAAGTACTTTCCATATTATGCTGGTCAGGCTCACCGGTCTATAGTTGTTCGTGGAGTGACGATCGCCCTTCTTGAAGATAGGACTCACATAAGCCACTTTCCATTCACTGGGGACCATTTGTTCATCCAGGCATTTACAAAACAGGATCTTCAGGGGCTCTGCAAGCTCGTTGCACAACTCTCTTAGCACTCTAGGATGCACCATGTCAGGGCCGGGACTCTTATATGATTTTGCCACAGTGTGGAAGCATTAAGCTAAAGCAACTGAACTCATTACTGTAATTGATATAATATTCAACAAATGAAATATTGAATGTTTTGACTAATCTAGGATTACAGTACGTACTTCTTCCAAATAAGTTATGAATAGTGCATAACAAAATTATACAGTACGTATACTACATTAGTAGTCCATTTACTTTTAGCAATTGATTATTTTTTAAACTGATATACATAACTATACACTGTAAATATTTTTCTTTTCAAATGATTACAAAGTTTAAAAGAATAATACAGTACAGTACAATACAGTACATGTTTTTCCAGTGCTTCTTTTATAGATTATTAAATTGTTAAAAATTCCTGTACAGTAAATATATTTTCTATATACTATCCCTTTCAATGAAAAAGTTGTTTCAAATATTTATAAATGGTTTCTCAAAACTTTATCTGACTGTTAAATTATATTTGCCATGTATTTACTTTTGCAGTGACAAGAGCGACATTGAGAGCCAGAAGGGAAACAATGGTAGGCATCGTCATAGCTCTGCCTCAAGGTCAGGTGCGGGTAGGAATGGGGGCAAGGCCACAATGGTAGCCACTTCCCTTGCCTCCATCCCTCCTGATGCACTTTACACTGCAGCCTCCAAGCATACCAGTGTGTCCACTCTGTCCTCTAAACCTGACCATGAGTATGAAAACTTGAAGGTGAGACTAGAGTATGCCATGAGCTCAAGAGGACATTTGGCAGCTGGTGGTTGCATTTGGGAGATGTATGAAAGAAGGAAGTACAGTTATTTACATCAAAAGTTTTCTTTTAAGAACATGAATCATTATTCTTTTCTGTTGGGATTATAATTGAGGAATGTGAATGAGTACACAACTCTTGTATTCCTACCCAAGATAGAATTTTAAAAAAAGTTGGCATCTTAATTAAGTCATGATTCATTAGTGATATAAAAAAATGAAAAAAATAAAATAAAAGTATATATATATATATATACAGTATACTGTATATGAAATGCTTCCATTCTTATATATCTTCCTTGCTTATCCCAGCTGTGTCCAAGCTCTGCAGCTGTCACTCTCAGTGGCTTAAATCCCGAGGCGTCGTCTTCATGTGGCCCGGGTTGCACGGTCAGCAGCTAAAATCACTGGGTCATCCACAGATGACCAACTGTATATACATCAGTATCAGACACCACTGCACTGCCTTAGAGATCTTTTTTTTCTTTTTTAATCTGTTGTAATTATTGACAAAATAACAATATGAACATACTGTATACATAGAGATGGAAAAGTGGGAAAAGAAAGGAGGGAAGGAATGTGTTTGGGGATTGGTAAATAACTGTTAGTTCTGATAGAGGTTGGAAGTTCATGGCACTATGGAACATGAATGCTCAAGTAAAGAATGATAGTAGCAAACAGCAGGCATTGCAGGAGACTGAGAAATGCCTGGTATAAACACACATGGGGAAATTCCTAGTAGATGTGGTGCTGTAACTGGTTTGTTTCTGGCAAACACTTTACACTGTAAATTTATAAGTTGTTGTTTTTTTCACTGATACTAATAGCTGAAGAAGAAACTGTAGAAAAAATGAAGGGGAAAGTTGTACTGGTAGATAAGTGAAAGTACAAATAGTTTGAGGAATGCTGTTAAGGTCCGATCTCTAGTTTATGTATTGCAGGTATCAGAAATGAGTAATAAGACTAGGTAAATACATCACCTACCAAGCATAGATGAAAGAGAAATGGGTTGATATTGTAAGAGAAATGTTGAGGTAGAAAGAGAAATGGGTTGATATTGTAAGAGAAATGTTGAGGAAACAGGAGATAAGGCACAAGTTTAAGAAGCAATTGTAAGAAGTAGTGCTTTTTAACAAGAAAGTGTAGCGATACGTACCAGGAGAGGGTGTAACTGTCACTGTAATACTGTATTATTTAAACACTACTAGATTTGAGGGGCAATATGGCGAGCAACAGGCACCTACAGAGATTACTGTTGGTTATTATTGATCATGGAATTCTCATCTTAACAAAATTCACTAATATTTTCTGACTTTAACAATAGCTGTTAACACACACATTGTGGCTTTTGCACACTAGTATTAGACAAGTACAGTTGCATTTTATTTTGAATTAATCACAGAATTTTAGTTGCAAACAGCACATTTCTTTGTAACTTGTACAGTCTTGGCTTCTTTGTAGCATTATGTTAAATTTTTTAAGTGCTTTGTGCCATAAATGAATTAATATTTGGTAAAGTAAGATTGTTCTCATTTGAATTTTTATGAATACAGTAATGCCAAAAATTATTCTCTTGGCAGTCTTGTTCTTATAGTGCTCAGATTAAGGCCACCGTAGAGAATTTCTACATGTACAGTAAGAATGGCAAGTAAGATGATGTACTGTATCATAAAAAAATCTTCAATAGCAATTCAAGCAGATAATATATAAGGTGACTAATTTGGGATTTGTGGACAAAATAACATTTAACAAAAGTAAAGAATTTTTATACACATTTTTTGTCATCAGAATTTATTTGAAATTTTTCTTTAATTTATATTTTTAGTATTTGACATCAATACAGTATAATATAGAATTTGCATTATCTCATGAAAAATATTTGTGATTAGTTACAGATTCTCAATTCATATTTTTTTTCATATTTTGCAGATAATGCCAACACCAATGGCAACACCAAACTTATGCCAGGTAACGAGAAGCAACAGCAGCAGCAGCAGCAGCAGCAGTCGGCAGAAAAGAGATGAGCTCACTGTGAGAGTGGGAGCAACCAGTGAAGTGAAGGAGGGAGAAGTGACAACGAGTGATCATGGGGCGCAGGGTGACTCAAATAACTCTGGATATAGGAAGGGTGAAATGCAAACTTTCAAGAGGCAAGAAAATAAGCAGGATGAAACCAAAGTTCTACCAAAAAGTTTAAAGGGTCCTCAATATGTACCAGTTTACCAGCCATATGCAGAGCATCTTTTACCTTATCAAGATAAACTGAAGACTGGCACCAACAATAATAGGTCACCAAGTAGTGGAGTTGTATATGCCGAGCTCCAACTTCCACGAGCATCTAACAATGGTTCCATGAGACGTGGAGATCAACGTCATCCTCAAAACAAGACTCAGTATGCAGAGATTACTTTTCAAGGCCGCCCTCTTCAAACAGCTGACATATAGAAAATACACAAAATTCTTTAAAATAAGAGTTATTAATGTCTATCCAAACCTGCAAATAAAATTTTTATTGTATATTCAAATTGTATTAAGCAGTCAGATGTTCATTTGAGTCTTTGTGACAATATGTAACTGAGTAATGAAACTAGTTGAAATTTAAAGCCTTTAAACGCCCTACTGCACCTTAGTCTTGGTATTTTATCAATTCCGGCCAGTTGAAAGTAGCAAGTTGAGAGAAATTGAGTCCAAATTTAATATGGCCAGAGTTATATAAATTAGCGTTAATTCCACAACTCAGATTGTGTTTAGGAGCATATACAAGTAGATTACATATAAAACAATATTATAAGAAAAAATAGAAAAGCAAAATGCATAAACATATTTAGCTATTCACTTAAGACATCAATGTCTATGATGAATAAATTTTGAGCTGAATATTCTGTAATATTAAGCCTATCTTTTTTATGCTTAGGTAAGTTGATCTTTTCCAATGAAGCAAAAGCTTCCCTCAGTATTAAAATGGGAATTAAGTGTTATTTGTAAGCATGAATTGTTTAGACAGTTTGAGTATGATTGCATTTTTTTAGGGGCAACTATAGGATTAGGTTATAACTTTATTAAAATAGTGTGATGAATGTGAAATTATTGGTAAGGGGTATGTAATAACTGTCTAGTTCTCAAATGCATCCTAAACCACATGCAGAAATGTGCATACAGTATGAAGCTTATTCGTATTTTAACCAAAGGTTGAATGCTTTTCAAGTCTGCACGCCATTTTTTTCCTTTGATTCATTTACTCCATCACTGTGTCCTATGCAATGTAAGATGGTCTGTTTTTTGTGTATGTGGTAAGTGCAGCCCTTGGATGTGACACAAGTTCTGTTTAATCAGAAGTTAATACATTGCTATAAATGTAGTCTAGCTATCAAGGTTCACGTCTTGCATAATTCCTCATTTACCAAGGAATGAAAGTGATGCTTTTGTCACTTTTCTTCCATCTTTATCTTGAATAGCCTAAGACTCCAAAGATTTTAATTTAATGTTAGATAATATGTAAATATACAGATGAGCTATTCAACCAATGCTTAATGATGTTCCTTCGCTGAACTTAACAGTAATTGATAAATGTGGAAATCAGTTGATTTCATTCCTCTTTAATACAAGGGTGATAGAATTATTCAAACTTTTTACTATTAAACAAAGTGAAACAGTAATTCAAATAATAAAGTGGTAATAATATCAGTCCCACATTTTTTTTATTCTTCTTCTTTACACTTTACAATTAATACTTAAAATCAAGCAATCAGGTTTAAACTTTTGTTTCTATCATTTTGATATAATTTTCTTATTGAGTATTGAATGCCAGGTTTGTAGTGTCTTTTTCTCCATATGTAATAGGAACATATTCAAAATATTTGAGTTGCAGATAATGTTGCAAATCTTGTCATATGCATGCAAAAGCTCCCTTCACTGTTTTGGGTTTATGGTCTGGTTAGAAATCTGTATTAGAATGTTTATTAATTGACCAAGCTTGCATTCATATATCAGTTAATTTTGTCTTCATGTGTAATGCCAGCAAGAATATTACATGCTCAATTCAATTCCCTATAACAGTCCTACACCCACCAATAATACATCAAGTGTTCCATACTATTAGCATTTATATTACCTAGGTATCACACAATAATTGACATATTTAACAGGGCATATTTTAATAATTGTTGCATTTTCATATTATGTATTAAGTCAGAATACCAGAAATTTTTTTTAGAATACGACTTCCTCTGACAATAGGCACTTGTGGCTCTTTAAACGTGCCTTTAGCTTTTAGCACTTGAAGTACGTTATTACAGGTATTTTGTGAAGGTCTTCAATCCAAATACTGTATAGTACAATATACTGTATTGGTATATATTCTATATAAATTGTTCCTGTTCAACTCATGAAAAAATAAGCATTTAAATCTGAAGATTGGACAACAAAATGTCATGCCAGATCCAGCTGGGTATATTGTGAGCCCAAGTGTCTATAGCCATGAAGACTGTCTGCTTTGTGTTAGTTTCTTTGGTCAAGGTATATTAGCAAAGCTGTATGGTTTCATCTCCCAATGTCCTGTAGACTACAGTTAAGCTTGAATTGGTAAAGTTTTCATTTTTAACCAAGAGGGTATCTTTTTATATAACTTTGTATATATTTGTATATGATGCTGAAGTAAATGGGTGCAACTATATATATGTGGGATTTTATTTGATCAGGCATCCTTTGATGGTCTTACTCTGCTTTTAAATCTAATTTTATTTATCATTATCCTCCAAAGAACGATTACAACAACTCAACATATTTATTTTCAATAGGAAAAGCACACATTGGAATCATTCAGTGTCCTGAAATATTTGGAGATATACATGTTGATACAAGTAAAAATTTATTTGCATTAACCCTTAAACCCCAGGTAAAGTTCCTGAACGTTCATCAAGGCAATCCCGGGTGACGTTCCTGAATGTTCTTAATTTTCACGGCATATTATATTTTGAATGTCCGGGTGTGAGAAAATACTTTGTTTGGGATTTTTGTCTAATTGGCAACTCAACTCGCATGTAATCTTTGGTGTCTCAAGACTAGTGTCTCATGGTCAGTTACCCGACAGCTATCTTAAGCGAAGGCATTTACTTGACAGCAGTGTTGTTCGTCAAGAATTGGTTGATTTGAGCGGCATTGATATAGTATCGGGTGACAAAGATAATGATGGGAAGGAAATAGAACCCAGATGTTGAGTTTGTTGAGGCAGTGAGGACAGTGATAGGCCTACAGACTGACGTTCCCTCTCCCTCCCCACCCCTCCAACCACTGGAGCATGGAGTGTTGAGTTGCCTTACACATTTTGTGTTACAAAGACTTCCACACAATCAAGAAGTAAGTTCTAAATTCAATAGAAGTACATGTAAATGGTGTATATACTACAGTATTGGAAAATACTGTAGTGATAAGTTTTGTGCTGCCAGAATATTTCTACTGTTTAGTATTTCACAGTTCTTTTGAGGAAAATAGAAACATTTTGTGTTTTGGAGCAGCGATAAGATAAAAATATGATATAAAAGTGTCTTCAAGTAAGAACTGTGTGTTGCAAGTGTGTGTCCACATCACTTCCCTCTTGTTCTGGGATGTGGGCAGTAGCTTCAACAAGACATCTTTCATCACTCCATACTACTCATCAACACTCCAGACAACTTTCCAACCATGCTACAATGAAAGTTGAATGTAAACACATTCTTATGGCATTTTTCTTACATTGATTAACCCATTTATAAGGTGACAATGGATTTAAAAAAATAATGTTTACCGAAATATTGTAGACCTGCATAGGGGGTTCAATGTGTCTCACGGCATCTGGGGTCTAAGGGTTAAATTTGAGGTAAAAATTTTGGCCAGAAAATTCTAGGATTTACCACTGACCTCCACATAATCCTGTGAGAAATTTAATTACTGTACACACTAGGGATAAATAAGGTAGGTTGAAAATTTGATGCAAAATCAATATTAAAGACATGTGGGTGTACCAAATTTGAGACTTGAAGATGGTAGTTATGCAAATTCAGGTCAGAACAAGGCACAGGCATTAAATGATTCTTTTCCTCAGTGTTTACAAGAGGATGCAAAAAATCTTCCTGCATTTGAAGAAAGACAGTTTAACACAGCGCTGATGCACTACCAGAAAGTGCTGTGACGGCACCGAGTGTGAGCTCTTTCAAGACAAGACTTGACCAACACTGGAGCGGGTTCAGGTACATTCAGTACTTGCCAACAGTGCGTAACAGAGACGTGACCGATCGCCCAAGCGGCTAACGAGCCGATCAGTCGTGAATATGTTAAAAGTAAGTATCTACACAGATATACAGAAGTATTAATTCCTTCCTCCATATTTCTTAACCACGTCCGTCCCGCCAAAGGTTTTTCAGAAAGCCTTTTCCAAGGTTGGGGATTATCCAGAAGTACCTCCAGATGTGATCTTGTCATTAGAATCATTTGTGTGCACTCTATGGGAAAGGAAAATTTAAGTGTGAATGATGCAAAATTTGCTTTACTTTTACTTTTATCCTCTTCACCACTGACCGGCTCGTTAGCTGCTTGGGCGATCGGTCACGTCTCTGATTACTTTTCCTTTTCTCTTATCCTCTTCACCAAAAGATCAGCTCGTTAGCCGCCTGGGCGATCGGTCACGTCTCTGTTATGCACTGTTGGCAAATACTGGGCATGCACCGGCTCCTGAATGTACCTGAACCCCAGTGGCGTGTCGTGAGAAAATGCTAGGGTAAGCAAATGACGCTTTCTTACTTGTAAAGTCACGAGATCTAAAAGAATTCTTTAGTAGATCACATACAGTCTGTATGTGATCTACTAAAGAATTCTTTTAGATCTCATGACTTTACAAGTAAGAAAGCGTCATTTGCTTACCCTAGCATTTTTCTCACGACACGCCACTGTAGATTGTTCTCCAGTGTTGGTCAAGTCTTGTCTTGAAAGTTTGCCCTCACAGTTTTCCGGACTTGAGGCTTCTTCAATCTTGAGCTGTGACCCCTTGTGGGGCGAGCGTCCGCAGCTCCAAGTAAGGACACTCGACTGAGCAGTGCCCCCTGAGATGCTTATACACCTCAATTAGGTCACCCCTTGCCCGTCTGTAGTATAAGCTAGCAAATAAATTATTGGGTCTTATAAGAAGGTCGTTCAGATATCTAGACGGTCCGTCCTTCGTAACGATCTTCAGGAGTGAAGTGCTTCCCCATCTGGAGTACTGTCACCCCATCTGGTCCCCAAGATATGCTAGGAACTGTCAATTGGTTGAAAATGTTCAAAGGATGGCCACCAGACTGGTGCCTGCACTTCGGCACCTCAGCTACCCTGAGATTGGAGCGCCTGAACTTGCCTATCTTATAGTACAGATGGGTAAGGGGGGACCTAGTTGAGGTGTATAAGCATCTCAGGGGGCACTACTCAGTTGAGTGTCCTTACTTGGAGCTGGCGGACGCTCGCCCCACAAGGGGTCACGGCTCAAGATTGAAGAAGCCGCAAGTCCAGAAAACTGTGAGGGCAAACTTTTTCGGAGTGAGGGTTGTAAACTCTTGGAACAATCTACTAGAGAGTGTTGTGACGGCACCGAGTGTGAGCTCTTTCAAGACAAGACTTGACCAACACTGGAGCGAGTTCAGGTACATTCAGGAGCCGGTGCATGCCCAGTATTTGCCAACAGTGCGTAACAGACGTGACCGATCGCCCAGGCGGCTAGCGAGCCGATCTTTTGGTGAAGAAGATAAATGAAAAGGAAAAGTAATCAGAGACGTGACCAATCGCCCAAGCGGCTAACAAGCCGATCAGTGACGAAGAGGATAAAAGTAAAAGTAAAAAGTTCAGGCGCTCCAATCTCTCAGGGTAGCTGAGGTGCCGAAGTACAGGGAGAGGATGTTTTTGAAGAGTCCAAGTGGTGTAAAATTAAATTAAAGGGAGGGGACTTACTTATCGTCGGGTGTATCTACAGATCCCCAAACTGTGGCCCACTAAATCAAAGGAACTTAAGAACCTTGATAAACAATGCGCAATGCTCAACCCTTGCCACCTCCTTATCCTGGGGGACTTTAACAATGGCGACATCGACTGGAGAAACGAGTCCTCCCCGAATGACTTGAACAACCCTGCTACTCTTTTTGTAGAAACTTTGAGAGATAATTTTCTGTCCCAACATGTTAGAGACCCCGACACATTACAGAAGGGAGCAAACACCCAAGCCACTTGACCTCATCATAACAAACGAGGAGGGTATGGTGGCCAAACTGGAACACCTTGCCCCAGTTGGCACCAGTCACCATATAGTGTTGTTATTCAGATTTAACTGTTACCTAGTTCAGGATAAGGCCAGGCCAAGGTGCAAATATTACAATGGAAATTACAATGGGATGAGAGAAGAGATGAGGGGTATCAACTGGCCTGACTCATTAAGGTACAAGAACGCAGACACTACGCTGAAGATCATAACTAGTAAAGTGACCCATTTGATCGATAAATATATACCCAAGACCAAACCCAGTGTTTCTAGGAATACGAGGGGATCCCTACACATGAACCATGCGGCGGTCGACAAAATAAAGAAGAAAACCCAGAAATTCAAGACGTGGGTTGGATCAAACAATGAGCAAGACAGGAGGATGTATGCAAGAGCCAGAAACCAAGCAAAGATAGAGTGTAGAAGGGCTGAAAAGGAGTTCCAGAGGCTGGTTGCAAGTGAGGTCAAGTCAAACCCAAAGGCTTTTTACCGCTTTGCAAAGTCGAAATTGAAAACGCGAGTAGGAGTATCAGACCTGAGGCTGGTGGATGGTAGTTACGCAGATTCTGACCAGGATAAGGCTGAGGCATTGAACAGCTTCTTTTCCTCAGTGTTCACAAGAGAGGATGCAACTAACCTTCCTGCGTTTGAGAACAGACGGTTCGACGCAGCACTGACCCACTTTGTGTTCACAGAAGAGGGTATTAGAAATAAACTGTCCAGGCTAAAGGTCCATAAAAGTCCCGGACCTGACGTGGTGCATCCTACTGTAGAGTGCTAAGAGAGTTGTGCAACGAGCTTGCAGAGCCCCTGAAGATCCTGTTTTGTAAATGCCTGGATGAACAAATGGTCCCCAGTGAATGGAAAGTGGCTTATGTGAGTCCTATCTTCAAGAAGGGCGATCGTCACTCCACGAACAACTATAGACCGGTGAGCCTGACCAGCATAATATGTAAAGTACTTGAGAGTATTATCAGAGATGCCGCAACGGAACATCTAATACGAAACAACCTTGTAAAGGATTGCCAACACGGTTTTATGCCAGGGCGTTCCTGTTTAACACAATTGCACAAGGTATTGGATATTTGGACCCATATTCAGGAATGGGTGGTGATATCGACAATATTTAACTAGATTTTGCCAAGGCTTTCGACAGTGTACCCCACAAAAGGCTGAAAATCAAACTGGAAGGGTACGGAATTCGGGGAAATGTCCTAACGTGGATACGAGACCTTCTACATGACCGCAAGCAGTGTGTGGTGATTAATAGCACGAAATCGTCATTTGTACCTGTCACAAATGGGGTACCACAGGGCAGTGTATTGGGCCCACTGTTGCATGTTTGTTTCATAAATCACATGCCTGACGTTGTACATTCCTCCATACAAATGCTTGCCGATGAAGCCAAGTTATTTCGG